CGGGTGGGCCTGCAGTGGGTGCCTTGTGTCTTCCAGAGCGCTGAGGCTGTTAGCCAGTGGCTCGCTACATTCCAGCTACAGCTGTATGCCCCCAACTTCCTCAGCGCTGGTTACGACCTGCCCACCATCAGCCGCATGACCCCTGAGGTGAGCTGCCTGAAGGCTGGCCACCAGCCATGACCCAGAAAGGGGCCCCCAGCCTCCAACTAAGGGGCCTCTCCTCTACCTAGGACCTCACGGCCATCGGGGTCACCAAGCCGGGCCATCGGAAGAAGATCACAGCAGAAATCAGTGGCCTGAGCATCCCTGACTGGCTGCCTGAGCACAAACCCGTAAGGCCCTCTGTACCCTGGTGGATGGGCAGACAGACAAACTGCCTCCCTGGCTACCGCTCTCGCTGCCCTCTGGGGGTCCAGGGAGAAGAGAGCAGAGGATAGTCCCCCAGCAGTGACCCGCCTGGACGGCCTCTGTCCATCACAGGCACTCGGGCCAGCCTCCCTGAGGCAAGGGCAGGGGTGACAACCTGTGAGGGCCGTCAGGGCAAGGGGAGAGTCCCCCTCTCCACTACATGCTCCCGCAAAGATCTCTTCCACACTCAGGCAGCCATACAGGGACACCTGGCACCCCTGGCACACTGCCCATTGCACACCCACCCAGACACCACAGAGGGGCCTGCGTCCATGGATGTGCACGCACACACCCAGGCACATGCGTGGGGAAGATGTGTGTGTGAGCATGCTTCATGTACACAGCACATGTGCACTAAATATATTCAAGGTGCCCATTGATGACTGCACACATACACCCACACATTCAACTGCACGTGCTGGCTGCGCTGACAGCTGACACCCACAAGGACTGCAGGCTGTGCTGTTACTAACAGGCACCCAGGTGGTGCGACAGGTTCTGGGCCAGAAGAAGGTGGGCCCAGGGTCTGTTGCACTGATGCTGCCTCTCTGGTCCTCACGTCGAGCTGTGATTCCCCATCCATTGATGGGGGAGATGCCATGGCCACCGAAAGCCCCCAGGGCCATGAATCAGGATAGCCATTTCACACTCATCTGTCCCACCTTGCCCCACTCAGTCAGTGGCTCAGGGGTCCTCCTGGCAAGCAAGTCTGGGCCTTACTTTGCTCCATGCACCCAGGGGTGACCGAGTATGCTGTGTGTTGGTGTATGAGTGATGGCCAGCTGGGAGTGTGGACAGGTGGATGCCATTCAGGAAGCCACTGGGTGGTTCTGGGTGAAGACAATCATGACTGTCTGCACACGTGTGATGTGGCCGTGTGACCATGCCGGATGCAAATGGAGAAATGGTGAGGGTGTGAGTGTGACGCAGAGGGGTGTCAGTGCCTGTGTATGGCTGGAATGCGGGATGTGTGTGTGTACTGTGTGTCTGTGTCCATGGTGTGTGGGGTGTGTCCACCTGGGTGCTGTCCCTATGGCTGCCTCGGCAGGCGAGGAAGTGTCTTCTTCCCCCTCCCCTGAACGGTGTCCTGAGGATAGGGTTGCCTCTGTGTGTATGTGTTTGCGTGTTTGCATGTGCGTGTGAGCTGGCCTTGAGCTCCTGCTGAGGCTGCACTGTCTCCAAAGCTGACACCTCTGGCCTGTCTGTCTGTCCTCTGTCTGTGCCGGGCTGGCCCGGTGCCCCTCCCCCAGCAGCTCCAAGTAGCAGCCAGCTGGGGCTGCCCTCTCTGTCCTGCTCCGTAGGCTAACCTGGCCATGTGGCTGTCCATGATCGGCCTGGCCCAGTACTACAAGGTGCTGGTGGACAACGGTTATGAGAACATCGACTTCATCACTGACATCACCTGGGAGGACCTGCAGGAGATTGGAATCACCAAGCTGGGTGAGGCCCTGGCCCCCACCACCTTCTGCTCCTTGCCACCTTCCCTGGCCTGACCTGCCCCGTGCCCCACTCAGGACACCAGAAGAAGCTGATGCTGGCAGTGAGGAAACTGGCAGAGCTGCAGAAGGCAGAGTACGCCAAATATGATGGGGGACCCCTGCGCCGGAAGGCGCCGCAGTCGCTTGAAGTGATGGCCATCGAGTCACCGCCCCCACCTGAGCCTGCCCCAGCTGACTGCCAGTCTCCTAAGATGACTACTTTCCAGGACAGCGAGCTCAGCGGTGAGCTGCAGGCTGCCATGACTGGCCCAGCAGAGGGGGCCACTGCTGCTGCCGAAAAGCCCTCCAACCACCTGCCGCCCACTCCAAGGGCTTCCATGCGTCAGGAGCCCAGCCTGGGTGGGCGGGCACGGCACATGAGCAGCTCTCAGGAGCTGCTGGGTGACGGGCCCCCTGGGCCTGGCAGCCCCATGTCACGAAGCCAGGAGTACCTGCTAGATGAAGGGCCAGCCCCTGGTACGCCACCCAAGGAGGCTCGGCCGGGCCGCCACAGCCACAGTGTCAAGCGGGCCAGTGTGCCCCCAGTGCCTGGCAAGCCACGGCAGGTCCTTCCACCAGGTGCCAGCCCCTTCACGCCCCCCCAGACTCCCACTAAAGCCCGGCCAGGTTCCCCCCAGGCCCTAGGGGGGCCTCATGGTCCAGCCCCAGCCACAGCCAAGGTGAAGCCCACCCCACAGTTGCTGCCACCAATGGAACGACCCATGTCACCCCGCTCGCTGCCTCAGTCACCCACACACCGCGGCTTTGCCTATGTGCTTCCCCAGCCTGTGGAGAGCGAGGTAGGGCCAGCTGCTCCGGGTCCTGCACCTGCTCCTGCACCCGTGCCCATGCTGTGCCTGCCCCCTGAGGCCGATATGGAGCCAGGGCGGCCCAAGAAGCGTGCCCACAGCTTGAATCGCTACGCAGCATCTGACAGCGAGCCAGAGAGGGATGAGCTGCTGGTGCCAGCCGCTGCAGGGCCCTATGCCACAGTCCAGCGGCGTGTAGGCCGAAGCCACTCAGTGCGAGCACCCGCCGGCGCTGACAAGAACGTCAATCGCAGCCAGTCCTTCGCTGTGCGTCCCCGAAAGAAGGGGCCCCCACCACCCCCTCCCAAGCGCTCCAGCTCAGCCATGGCCAGTGCCAACCTGGCTGATGAGTCGGCACCAGATGCTGAGACTGAGGGGGCTGGGACCGAGGATGGCCGGCTAGGGGTCCGGGCACAGCGCAGGCGGGCTAGTGACCTGGCTGGCAGCGTGGACACAGGCAGTGCTGGCAGTGTGAAGAGCATTGCAGCCATGCTCGAGCTGTCATCCATTGGGGGTGGGGGCCGGGCAGCAGCCCGTAGGCCCCCTGAGGGCCACCCCACACCTCGCCCTGCTAGCCCAGAGCCAGGCCGGGTGGCCACAGTGTTGGCCTCAGTGAAGCACAAGGAGGCCATCGGGCCTGATGGTGAGGTGGTGAACCGGCGCCGCACCCTCAGTGGGCCGGTCACAGGACTTCTGGCCACAGCCCGCCGGGGGTCTGGGGAGCCGGCAGGACCTGCAGATCATGGCCATTTTGTGGAGGATGGCACTGCCCGGCAGCGGCCTCGAGGTCCGGCCAAGGGTGAGGCGAGTGGCGAGGGCCCACCCCTGGCCCGGGTGGAGGCCAGTGCCACACTCAAGAGGCGCATCCGAGCCAAGCAGAGTCAGCAGGAGAACATCAAGTTCATCCTGACTGAATCTGACACAGTCAAGCGCCGGCCAAAGGCCAAGGAGCGTGAGACAGGCCCCGAGCCACCCCCGCCACTGTCCGTGTACCAGAATGGCACAGGCACGATGCGCCGCCGACCGGCCTCTGAGCAGGCTGGGCCCCTGGAGCTGCCCCCACCACCCCCACCAGCCGAGCCCCCACCCTCTGACCTGATGCACTTGCCCCCGCTGCCCCCACCAGACAGTGATGCCCGGAAGCCAGCCAAGCCGCCTGTCTCTCCCAAGCCTATCCTGGCTCAGCCGGTGCCCAAGATCCAGGGGTCGCCCACGCCTGCCTCCAAGAAGGTGCCGCTGCCAGGTCCAGGCAGCCCAGGTAGGTGAGGGAGCCAGCTGGGGAAGGGCCCCCACATCACCTCCCCCCGCTACACGGTGTGAGGGTTATTTTTCCTCTTTTTGGATTTGATGGTAGCCAGGTGGACTGGGGTGGGAAAGTGTCCTCAGACTCTCTTATCCCTCCACCCATATGGCCCAGAGTTAGGAGGAGAGTGGCTGGTCCTCATGCTGACAGGTGAAGGAGGCACAAAAACCCATGAATAGTAGCTCCTATGGAGGAAGGACAGGTGCACAATGCTGGATGGATCAGGGAGGACTCTGACCTGGCTAGAGAGTGACCCCAGCACAGGAGGAAGGGGAGAGGCTTCCAGGTAGAAGGATCAGAGGTGCAAACGCCTTGTAGCAATCAAGCAACCGAAGGGCCAGTGGCTGCAGCTGTCACACCTGGAGGGGGATCAAGGTGGGGTGGTCCGGGCGGGGTTTGAAAACAGTGAAGCAAGTTTGCACGGGGTAGCGCGCCCCCTAGCGGCCGGGGGCAGGCTAGGGGCAGAGGACGGCACTGCTGAGAAAGGTTATCTCCGCTCCCGAGGGTGCGAGCTGGGGCACTGCGGCACGGTTTGTGCCGGGGTGGGCAGCGCGGCCTATCGCCGTTGTGCGAGTCTCCTCCTCCCCGCAGAGGTGAAGCGTGCTCATTGCACGCCGCCGCCCGTGTCTCCCAAGCCGCCGCCGCCGCCCACTGCGCCCAAGCCGGCCAAGGCCGCGGCGGGGCTGCAGTCAGGCAGCGCCAGTCCATCACCTTCGCCCTCGCCGGCGCGCCAGTCGCCCGCCCCCCTCGCCAAGCCGACCAGCACGCCGCCGTCTCTGAGCGCCAGTCCAGCCAAGCCCCCGTCCCCCGGGGCGCCGGCGCTGCACGTGCCCGCCAAACCGCCGCGCGCCGCGGCCGCTGCCGCTGCGGCCGCCGCCGGGCCTCCCGCCGCGCCCGACGGCGTCTCGCCTGGGGACAGCGCCCGGCAGAAGCTGGAGGAGACAAGCGCCTGCCTGGCGGCGGCGCTGCAAGCCGTAGAAGAAAAGATCCGGCAGGAGGACGCGCAGGGCCCACGGTAGGGGCGGGGCGGGGCGGGGCGGGGTCTGGCGTAAGCGCGGAAGTGGTTTGTGTGCCGCCCGGGTCGGTGCAAGTCTGAAGAACCTGTGTACGGGCTCGGGCGGAGTCATATAAGGAGGGGTGTGGTCTGAGACACCCACCCCTTATACTGCGGGGTGGGGCCCGAGGCGGGTGGGGTTTGCACGCCAACCCAGGTTGTTTGCATTCTGAGGCTGAAGTGCATGAGCTGGACTCGAGGGCAGGGCGGGGCCAAGACCTTAGGGGCGTGGCACGAGGGCCCCGCCCCGCTGGATCGACGGGGGCGTGGTCTCCGTGTGGGCGGGGCTTGGTGCGAGACAGGGGCAGCGCGTTCTCCCGCTCCACCCCTCTCTTCGCTCACACTGCGCGGGTCCCTAGCCCATCGGCCGCGGAGAAGAGCACCGGCAGCATCCTGGACGACATCGGCAGCATGTTTGATGACCTGGCGGACCAGCTGGACGCCATGCTGGAGTGATGCGGCCCACGTTGGGCACGCCCGCGCCACCAGGGTTCCGGCCTACACGCTGACCTTTACCTCAGGATGGGCATCTCTGGGCGAGGCGCGAGTGAGCGGGACGGTGGGCCAATGGGGGGTCAGGTGCAGAGAACTGCCCATCAGATGGCCGCGGCCATGAGGCGGGGGCGGGTCGTGCTGCCCAGCCCCTGCACAAGCACAACTCCTGCCCCCTGGGCCCAGGCAGGATGTCCAGCCTGGAGGACTGCCTGGCCAAGGGGACCCAAGGGCTCTGGACAGATGCTGCTGCCCTGTGGGTGCCCGTCCCTGTCTGCTGCTCCCTGTGCAATAACTGCTGGGCCACCTGCCCACCCACCTCCAGGCTCTGCCCACTGTATGTACAGGAGGGGCAGTCCCTGGCCCCCCTGGCCTGAGTACAGGCTGGGCCTGCCCTGGCAGGCAGAGAGCGGGGACAGCTGCTGTAGGCCCCTCCCCAATCTGTGGCAGAGCACAGGCCTATGCCCAGCACAGAACTGCCCATTGGGGATCTCTGCCAGCCACTCTGGCACAGCACAAGGGGCTGGGGTCGGGCCCCCTGCCCCACTGTAACCCCCAGAATATAAGCTATCGAGAGTATTAATTTATTGGGAATGAGCTGAGGCAGATTTCCCCAGAGAAACGAAAAGGTATAACTTTAACAAATATATATTTAAAGAAAAAAAATATTATTGATTCTATAGAAAACCATTTACCAACTGCAAGGACACTGGAGTCTAGCTCAAGACAAAAGCTGTTAGAGGCCCTGGCCGTTGTCTGTCCATCCTTCCGTCCCTCTGTCCAGGAGTGGCCAGTCCCCTGGCCCAGTAGCACAAATAGGAGGCTGGGGTCTGGGGAGGGGTCCGTGCTCCACCAGGGCCTCTGCTCTCTCTCCTAACTTCTCTGCGTCTGAAGAACTCAAAGGATGTGCCTTGCTGCTGGGCTGTGTTCTCCACACTGTGGAGATGGGGAGGGCTTCTTCCTTTCTGGGGGAGGGGGAGCTGCTGTGAGGGTCCGCCTGGGCTTTAGGGGAGCTGTGCATACAGCGTGGTGAACATGGCACGTCAGCCAAGTGACAGCAATGGGTGCAGGGCGTGCATGCCAGGCTGTGTGTGGCACGCGTAAGGGTGTGCCTGACCCTCCTTCCCCAGGCCCCACTCGAGTTCCCACGGACGCTTCTGCTCGTGGTCCAAGGCTATTTTGTGTGGTTGTTCTTGCCCTCTTTCTCTCTTTCCTCTCCCCTCGCCCCTCCAAAAAGTACTGACTGGCCTCCTCTATTGTGTTTGCTGATCCACGTGTGTTGGGCACAACTTTGACATTTCTTAAAAAAAAAAAAAAAAAAAAAATTAAAAATGCCAAAAACCAGCGATTGTGATATGGTGGGTGGAGGGGGTCAGCCAAGGTGGCGTCTGGGCATGTGAGGCCCCTTCCAGCTGTCATGCCGTGACGCTTTTCCTAGTGGATGGTGAGCACCTTGCCACCCACCTGGCCTCTCAGTGGGTGGCCCAGGCTGGGGCTCCAACAGGCAGGGAGGGAGGGTCTGGGCAGGGAGCAACTGTCGGCTGGCTGTCAATAAACAGCAGAAAACGGAGCTGCCTGGCTCACTTTTTGGGGGTTGTGTTGGAGAGAGTGGGGGCTAGCCTGTTCCTGGCAGGGAGGGGAAGTCACAGTGCTACATCCTGGGGTTGACAGACAACAGGAGCCAGCCTCCCTCCCACTGGTTGCTGGTGCCTGGGCACACCAGTGTTCTCAGGCCGCCTCTTTCCATCCCAGAACCATCTCCACTCACAGCCACAGTCTGTGCAGCTTTTATTTCAATGAGGAAGTAATCAAATCTATGTACAATCTAAAAACAGTAGAAAAAGGGAGTAAAAAGACCCCGAAGTCCATCAGGGTTGGGGATGGAGGGTGGACCAGGTGAGCGTTATACCTGGAGTGTGGAGAGAGGGACCTCTGTCCTGGCAGCAACGATGACAGAGCCAGGCAGAGGGAAGCTCACCGGGTACAGGGCAGGGAGGGTACTTCCTGGCTGGCCGAGCCTACCCAACTGTCCCCAGTGAGCAGGCAGAGACCCCGAGACCACCCAAGTGGCCAGCCTGGCTTGGACAGGCCTAAGGCGAGCCCAGAAGCCAAGAACTGGCTTGAATTCTGTTAGCAAGTCCAAACCTGCAGAGAAAGGGTTCTGTTTCAGGCCATCCTGCCCCCAACAACCCCTGCTGTCTATACCTGTCCTCCATTGTCACCTGTCCAGGGCTGCTGGCTCCTCACCCCCCACCCCCTGCTCCACCTGTGCAGCCAGCCCCGTTGGATGACTGAAGCCAAAGCACTGACCTTCACAGTACTGTCCACAGCCCCTGAGAAGAGCCGGCCCCGGGACACAGCCAGCGCAGTTACACTGCCCTGGTGACGCAGCAGAGTCTGTGTGCAGATCATGTTGTCCATACTCCAAACCTGGGGGCACATGGGACGTGAGGACCTGCCCGTGACTGGCCACCCGCCCTGAACCTCCCACTGTTACCAGGCTAGCACGGACCCTAAGAGACCGGTCATAGGATGCGCTGAACACTTTGGTCTGGTCTGGCGTCGAGATGACTGCCAGGGCATACACAGTGCCGACGTGGCCTGTCAGGGTCCGTACCTGCTCCTTGGACTCGATGTCCCACACCTGAGGTGATGGCACAGGTAGGTCAAAGATACAGACTGGGGGAGACAGGGGCCCAGTGTCAGATCCTGCCCCTAGGTGTCTGCCCTTACATGGATGAGGTTCTCGTAGGTGCCACACACAATGTGGTGATTCGTCACAGCGATAGAGTACACACTGCCACCAGACGTCTGCAGGACATGGATGCAGTCGAGGGTCCGGATGTCCCAGATCTATGGGCAATCACAGGCCACTTGGTCGCAGGCCACTTGGTCCCAGGCCAGGCACTTCACCCCCAGGGCCTCTGAGGCTTCAGACACCATGGGAAGCCCACTCCCCATCCAGGGTGTACGTGAGGATCTCCCTGCTCTGGCCAGGAGCTGGCCTGGGCAGTGCTGGCCCAGGGAGGGGCCCTTCTACTGGGAGCATGGCACAGGGGTACCTTGATTGTCTGGTAGGAGCCACTATACAGATAGCTCTGGGCAGCCACCAGGGCCCGCACCCAGTGGTTGAGGCCCGTGAGCTCCTTCTTCAGCTTCAGCTCAGTGCCCACAATGTCCCAGACCTATGGAGACAGCTGTGAGTATGGGCTGGGTGGCCAGGCATTCGGCACCCCAATGCCCCACACATGCATGCACACCACCTTGCCTGACCTTGATGGCCTTCAGAGAGCCGCTGAAGAGCATGTTGTGTGAGGAGACCAGCGTGCATACAGGGTTGTCATGGGCCCGGATCGTATTCACCTTTTGCAGGTTCTGGATGTCCCACACCTGGCAGGAAGGAGCACAGGAAGCCTCAGGCACTGGCCTGCTGCTCTGAGCCCAGTCCCCAGGGGCATGGTGTGCCTGGGGCTCCCAGGTCCTGATGCGGCCTGGCCCCTCCTGCAGGCCCCACTCACGATGATAGTACAGTCTGCTGAGCCGCTGTAGAGCTTGCACCTGGGGAAACAAAGCCAAGGTGTCAGTGCAGAAGCCACCATTCTTGTTACCATTGCCCTGCAGGCTAACGTAACGCTGGCCACCAGGAACCAGCAGCTTAGGCCAGTGCCAGGGCCACTGCTACTTCCATGAGCTCAACCTCAGTATTCCAGTCTCAGGGAGGGGAACTCGGAAGTGGAGGCCCAAACCCTGGTACCCGCCTGGGAAGTATCTGACAGCCAAGCTGGGAGCTAATTACCCCACTAGCACTGCCGCCAGTCAAGCTGCTGTTTCCTGTGCACGAGCACCTCTCTCTCTCTCTCTCTCTCTCTCTCTCTCTCTCTCTCTCTGACACACACACACACACACACACACACACACACACACACACACACACTCATGCCCATGACACAAAATCTCATGACACAAGACAGGAGAAAAGTCTAGAAGGGGCCATCCCGGGGAACAAGGGGGTGGCTGGGCCATCTGCTCTGTAATCCTGTCCCTGAGCTGTGCCCAGACCAATGACAGCTGAGCTCCTGCCTTCACTCTCTGATGTCCCACTTCTGTCCTCTGGCCACCTGCCGCACTCCAGGGTACATTGTGAGTGTACGACGTCAGAGATGGAGGGCCTACATGCCACCATGCAGAAAGCCAGCCCTGCTCAAGGTCAAGAGCGCCTCACAGGAGGGGCAGACACAGCCAGGTGACACGTGGCCACAGGAGCTTGAGCTCACAGCCCACAGGGCAGAAGCACAGTGTCTCCTGTCCCCAGCTCCATGGCGGCCCTGTGGTCAGTGGATAAATGTGTGCCTGTACTCACCCCTGGATGCAGAGTGCCAGCACAATGCCATCATGGCCCTCCAGCGTCTTCTGACACTTGTAGGTGGTACATGTGTCCCACACCTGTAGAGACCAGTGTCAGAGTGGGTCCCAGCAGGATCAGGCAGGTTCCAGGGTGGCATGGTAGGAATGAGAAAGCAAGCCATCCTCGGACAGAAAGCCCCAGCCATGGGAGGAAGCCCCACCAGGCTGCTGATGCCCCTAGGCAGGATGCCACCCACCTTGATGGTCTTGTCGGAGGAGCCACTGAAGAGCAGGTCCCCCATGGAGTAGACGCAGAGACACCAGACAGGGCCCTGGTGGCCCACGAAGGTTCCTTTGCACTTGAAGATCTGCTGCGGGTCATAGGCTGCAGAGACAGGACAAGCTGGTGAGGGACCTGGGAGGCCTCAAGGAGGGTGGGAGCAGCAGTGGGCCCATACTCACATCCTAGGATGCCCATGTTCAGCCGTGCATTGATGTGGGACAACTCATCCTGTAAGGCCAAGAGCGAAGGGCATGGCTGTGGCTCCACGGTCCCCCTGACCGCTGGCCTGAGCTCAGCTGGGGCAGGGAAGGTGTAGCAGCAGCCCTCCCCAGCACAGACACCTAATCCCGAGCAGGGCAAGCCTCCTGCTGGGGCCCAAGCTGAGGGACAGTCCTAGGTCCCCCACCCCACCCAGCCTCCCTGCATCTGTCCCTCGCACGCTCACGTTCAACATGGATGCATCCCTCCGGAACTCCATGAGGTCCTCGCTGAGCTTGCTCTGGTTTTCATCCAGGACATCTGAGTGGCAGGGGAGAGGGTGTCAGGGACCAGGAGGAGGGGCTGCACCCCCCACCCCCTCTGGGCCAGGCCCTCACCAAACTTGAGCTCCAGGCTCTTCTCCAGCTGGTCAATCTTCTCTGAGAGCTTGCCCAGCATGGAGCGCAGGAAGGCGATCTCCTGGTCCTTCTGGGCCAGTGCCACGTGCATCTCGTGGAAGCGGTCGTCTGTTTGCTGCAGGAACTCTTTCAGGCCCTCGAAGCGGCAGGTCTCCAGGTGCGTCTCATATGTGTCCTGGTTCCCGATGAACGTGCACCTGGAGGGACATGACAGCTGCCTGCCTTCCTACTCACCGGTCCACTGGTAGGCCCTTTCATCTGCCTCTCCCACCCCAAGAATCTCTCAAATCCCACTTTTGTGCCCACTGAACCCCAGATGGGCCACCACCCTCTCCACACCTGCATGCCCACCCATCCATCCTGCTCCCACCAGCATCTAGCACCCAGCAGGCCACTCTGCAAGGGATACCCAACCCCTGTGCTCCTGCTCAAAGCTCTTCACGGGCTCCTCCACACCCCTTATCAGCCTGCTCCTTTTCCCACCCCCAACACGCCTCTCTGGTCTCAGCTCTGGCTCTGCTCAAGTCTGCTCCTGCTGGTCCAGCTGCCAGAAGCTCTTGCCTTGCTTGGTCTTTGCCCGGCTCAAGCCCACACATGTGTTAGCTCTCAGCTCACGCCGTTCCTGACCACCCCAGCTCCCCAACCACTCCATCCCCTCTGTGTTCCCATGGAGCTCGGGTCTCTCCTTGGCGGCACCTGTACCTCAGTTTGTAATTACATAGTCGATGGTGTGGCTCCTGCTAAGGTCCGTCTCCCCAGGGACCCTGGCTGTCTCCCCAGCGCCCAGCACGCAGGCGGATCTCAACAAAGGTTTGCTGAAGGAGGGACTGTGAATGCCAGCCCAGGCCCACCCGCCCATCTTCCTGCCCGCCCACACCCACCCTGGGGCAGCCCCCACACACCCACCCCCGCCCACTCACCCGTACTTGGAGTGGGGACACTTGATGTGCTCGCACTCCTTGAGGTGGGCTTCCAGGTTCATCTTGAGAAGGGGTGGGCAGCTGGGATTGTTGGGGCACCGTACAGGCCTGTAGTCACAGGTGCTCTCGTGGTCCCTGTGAAAGATGAGACATGGGACGGG